CGAGGCGTCAAGGCTATTCAATATCTTTACTCCTGGGAGAGGATGTCTTGATTCCGTATCCGAGCCATGCCTGGCGCTCTTGTCTACGCGACGCTTTCCATACATCGCTGTCCACGATAAACGACACAACTCTGATTGTTGGACACAACTCTGATGTTGGAGGACTTGGATCCTCTCGTTCGGGTTAAACCTGCTGAGGACCAAGGACACAGAAAAGAATCATCTCTTGCCAAACAACAACGGCTGTGAATATTTGCCGGAAAGCGCACCCCTTTCCCGAATCCCGTGAGAGTCATCCCAGTTTTTGTCTCGACATCTTACCGGTGAACATGTCTCCTATTTGGGTCGGGGCTCATTGCCTCACTCATTTGCCTCCTTTATGCACTTTTTGATCTGGATTTTCATGGTTACACTTTTACCTAACGTGTTATCTTGTTTGTACCTGTGGCTCCGATTTCGTTTACTAACGCACGCTACTGTTTTTGCCCATCATGTCCTGCTACTTTCTGTGACTTAGTAGGCATTGTATTTTGCCGTTTTCAGCGAATTCATTCGCCGAAATCATGTTCCGTGATATGCCGAATGCGCCGCAGCCGAAGCAGAAACAGCAAGCGCCAAACAGCCGTTCTCAGTCGGTCAGTAATTCTCGACAGGAAGCAAAGAGTGCCTTTCTCCGTCTATTCCTTATCACTGAACCGACAGACGCCCTGAAACAGATCCTCCAATTGTGCGCCTAGTGATTGTCATCTTTCTGCCCTATCGGCCTCCCCCCCCCTACGCGAATTTGTCTGTGATTTTATACTTGTGGTGATTTTCGGCCGGCCGTTTGTGATCTACGTTCGCCTTTTTTTCAAGCATCATCATCCTTTCTGCCGGCTTTGTTCCATACGCTGTCTTTTTCACTTTTCTCTTCGCCCTCTCTTATCACTCCATTTCCGTCATTATTTTCCCAACATCGATTTATTTTTGCCTGTTATTGTGGTTAGAACTTTTGGTATCTCCAGCGCGCGACGTGATTATCCCGTTCTCTTCCCGGTGGCATTCTTGCGGAGCCTATTGTTTCTCTGGCGGGCTTTCTCCCTCGCCGTCTCACTGGTCTACTTCAGCGTCGCCTTGGCAACTGCTTTGGCTGGACCATTCAGCGTATATTTACTATCTGCGTCCATGTGAAAGCTCGTATAACCCAGGTCTGCCATCGGCCACATGGAACAGGCCATGCATTGCCAATAGAAGCGAACAGGCGACTTCCAAGGAAGCAGTTTTAGAGTAAGAAGTTGCGATCGCTGAAACAAGAAGTTTATTGGCCCGACCTATCATCAAAGACAGTTGCAGATAAAGGTAGTGGAGGCACAATGACTGATGTGGGGCCCCATAGGTACTATAATTGGCAGCTCTCGCGATCACAACTGGGGGTCAAAACTGCACATCAGTCCGGGTCCGAGTCGTTAATTGCCGCACTTTCATCATGCATGTTGGATGTTGGCGTGATGATTGCTCGGCCATTTGACTCGCTGTCATCGGGATTCTTGCCCGCCCCCCCCCGCCCCACATGACTGCTTCCCCTGCTCAGGGAATGTCTCAGCACTGGATATTGTGCCAGGAGGCCATTGCATTTGTTGATGGATTGCCGACCTGAGAACCATGATTCAATCAGCTCACGCAGCTGTCAACTCTTGCGAGGGTTTCGGCCTCTTGAAACTTGAAAATTTGGCCGGGTTCCGTAGGATGAGCCGCCACCTAAGAGCTGGCGTCTTTTCTACTCACCGCTGCTGCATGCACAGCCATCCGCGTGCGGAGTAATCTCCCAGTTTTTCCGACGTAGTTGCTCTGTCCGCAACTGCACCAGATCCGGTAAACGGCTCCCGACTTCTTCTAAACGCCACGTATTTTTGACTCGCACAGTCCACAGGAGTTGGTAGTTGAAAGTGGTTAGGAGGTTAGTTAAACTACTTTGTGTGTCTGACGGATTGGCGGCAGGTAGTACTCAGATATCGACTGATTTTTAGTTCTCATTTGTAGGCCGACTTACTAGTTGTCATGTCGTTTAGGAAATTGGCCATCGCGAATTCTAATCGCAGTTGCTGACCATAGTCCTCTGGCCGTCTGAAAATCCGGCCAACCCATCAGTGATAGGTGTACTTGGCTATAATACTAACATTTGAAGATGGACACCGACGCAGGACCAAGGTTTCAGGATTTTGTCGGGCGACCCGGCAGCCATTACTTGATACTGGATGGCATTCGCCATATCGTAATGCCACTATGATCTGTGACCTATTTATGATGGTAGAAGAGCGCTCACTGATCGCTATTACGGAACTCACTCGTTCCGTTGTGCCTTACGAGCTCTCTTTCGAGCCCAACCAGCAGCCGCACAGCGGCGCATGATATAAGCAATATGCTATTACCGACAAAGACAAGGGAGGCGGTCTCCCTTGACCTGCACGATTTTCATTCGATCACACCTGAATGTATTGCCGCTGCGTGGGCTGAAAACATGTAAATCCCACAGTTATTCTTTGTCGTTCCTCTTTGGGTCCCTGGGTGATTCGCAACTATGGTAACTGGCACATCTGCCTTCGTCGAGGTCTTGTCATCCTGGGGTCGAGCTGTGAATCGTGGCACTGTATTGGTGTCTTCCTTGCAGTTTATCCCATTTCTGAACCTCGGAAATAGTCACATGGCAACCGTTTGTGCATACAGAAAGAAAAGAGAAACTCGCATGGCTATTTCTGTATAAGTGGCGGCGTCAGACAGTACTGCCCAACCCTATCCCATCATAATATCCCCCCCAACCCCATCGCGCTCGACAGGACAAATATCCTCTGGCAGAGAGCTGAATTAATAACGCTCGATGACCAATGAACGCGGCTCCAAATCTCAAATCCAGCAAGTCGTGGGTTGGAAATTATCATTTTCTGAAGGCTAATGAACTAGGAAGGGTCATTCTGGCCTTCGGTGCTGCCTTCTGTCAGTGAAGAGTCGAGCACGGGTACACTTTGTTTATTATCGTGAGCTTTCAGACTCGTGCAGGAGTTTACCGTCAGAGGTAGTAGCAGCGACAGAACACGCGATAGTTATAAGGTATGTAGACCAATCATCGACCGACGGCTCAAGACTGGAGATGACTACGCCGGGCTCTGTACGCCGGCGCCAGATCGATAAATCGATTGACCGAGTTCACATCTGAGGGCCAGGCCTCAATGTGGCGGCACGACTATGGGTGGCTCCGGCCGTGCCAGGCACCTGCGTCCCCTCCCATCACCAGTCCCCTTGATTATGCCCTGACATCGAGGCTAGGGTGGGGAAGGCGTAGAGTGTAGTAGCTGGTGCGTAAGTCGTGAGGTATGTCGGTTGTTTGGGATGCTGGAGGTGTTCATGTGCGTTGCATGTGTTGATGGGGGGAGTGTGGATTGATTTTCCGCAGGTTTCCAAGGCCACGCATGTGCCGTAACAGGTCCGTGCGTTGGTTGAATATGCGTGGGCAGTACAGGCAGTTAAAGTAATGACGTCAGGTGTCTATGGGTGCTCCAGGTACTGGTTCACCGGTCACAGTGCGATGGATTCGCAAGTGACCGACCAGGCCGATACGTGTGACGATAGTAATGAATACAGTTTGGGACCGAGATCAAATAGTTGGGAGTAGGGTTGGCAATAGTGAGAGTAATGGTTGACGGTGTGTCCGCAGTGTCATTTGACCGGTTGAGGGAGTGGGTGAAGTGGTGGTCGTCGTTGTCGCTGAGTCTGTGGCAAGGATGGCGGAGATGGTAGTGGTCGACGGTGGCGGAGGGTACCGGAGTTGTCGTATTAGTCGCTTTCCTGAACACTTTTTCTTTAGGCTATCACAATCTTTGCGGCATACGAGGACATCCAGGAAGGCCAGCTGGTTGTTCTCCTCTTCCGCCTCCTCCATCGTAAATTTTATGTCCGGGAAGACCGCATTTAGCGAGGGGTGCGCACTGTTGAACTTTTGGACAAGGTCTTCAATATGGGTGGTACCATCCGCCAGACAGAAGATATCGTCCACGTACCGACCGTAGCGCACCCCTCGCTAAAGTTCACTGCTGAGTCTGAGGCAGATAACGAAAGTGCGTTTCTCGATGTCCTTCTACACAGGCGGGAGGATGGGTCTATCCAGCGCAGGGTGTTGCGAAAGAAAACCTGGACGGACAGCACATTAATTTCCACCGTTTTGTTCCCCTCAACATCAAACGAAATCTAGTCCAGTGATTGGCAGCTAGAGTGAGGCGCATTTGCTCACCTGAAGCTACTGAAGCAGCGCTCCAACATCTGCAGAACACACTTCGCGAGAACGGATATCCAGATAGATTTATCCTCCGAAATATTGGGGAACGTATTGCAAAGCCCACTGTTGCGACTGCAGAAAAGAAAGATGTATTCATAACACTGCCTTTTGCAGGGGACGCAGCGAGCGAAGTTGTCAGACGGCGCTTAACTACAGCTGTCACGAGAGCATTTCCCGCGGCGAATTTACGCGTATGTTTCACAAACTCTCCCCTCCTACGTTTGGGAGGTAAAGACAGACTACCGTTGGAGGCCACATCAATGTGCATCTACTCATTCACTTGCTCCTGTGGAGCAGGATACATCGGCCGTACAACGAGACGCCTGGTA